CTTTCTGCTTTCTACCACCACTCTCTGGGATTAGAGGCTGGCTTTCTGGGATTAAAGGCGTGTGTCACCATGCTTGGCTTTTTCCAATGTGGCCTTGAACTCACAGAGATCCAGAGGGATTTCTATCTCTGGAATGCTAGGATTAAAGGTATGTGCTATCACTGCCTAACTAGTGGCTTTTCTGTTCTCTGACCCCAGATAAGTTTATTAAGGTACACGATATTTTGGGGAACACAATATCACCACATCTGTCTTTTTTATTTGTTTGTTTGTTTGTTTATATTATCAGCTTGATAAAGTACAAATTTTTATCCTAATAGTGAAATGTTTCTCTGAGGCTTGCCCACTGATTGAGTAATACCAAAACTTATAAGCCACAGTCATTCTAGGCTCCCCCCCTGCTGTGTAGCTTCCCTGGTTCTGTGGGTTGCAGTCTGATTGTTCTTTGCTTTATATCTAGTGTCTACTTAGTGAGTATGTACCATGTTTGTCCTTCTGGGTTTGGGTTATCGCACTCAGGATGATATTTTCTAGTTCCATCCATTTGCCTGCAAATTTCATGCTGTCATTGTTTTTCTCTGCCAAGTAGTACTCTATTGTTTCTTAATCCATTCTTCAGTTGACAGGCATCTAGGTTGTTTCCAGGTCTGGCTTTTAGGAATAGTGCTGCTATGAACATAATTGAGCATGTATCTTTGTGTTATGATTGAGCATTCCTTGGGTATATGCCCAAGGGTAGTATTGCTGGGTCTTGAGGTAGATTGATTCCCAATTTTCTGAGAAACCGCCATACTGATTTCCACAGTGGTTGTACAAGTTTGCACTCCCACCAGCAGTGGAGGAGTGTTCCCTTTGTTCTGCATCCTCTCCAACATAGACTGTCATTAGTGGAAAAGCATGTCTATCTTGAGGTGGGAAGTGAAGACCAACACCCAGGTCTGTCTTCTGACCTCCCTCACGTACACGGTTTTAAAGTATGTTACAGGCATTTTCCCCAGAATTGAAAAAAATACAGCTAAGGGAAAAGCCAGTGGTTTGTCCAGAAAATGACTTGAATATTTTTGTCTTCTGCTTACATTTTCTTCTTTAATAGAACAAGAAGAGCTTGGTAGCCTTTAAGATCATTCCCCTGGAAGATATGAATGAGTTCACTGCACATATGCTGGAGGTGGTCAATTCACACATGATGCTCAGCAAATCCAACAACCAGGTGAGCTGCAGTTAGCTTTTTCCCTTTTCTGGGAAAACAAACATTATTATTTGTATTTATTTACATGTGTTTATGTAAATGTATGTGATTGTGTGAGGGTGCCTTCAGAGGCCAGAAGAGAGCATGGGATCCCCTGCAAGTAGGGTTATAAGCAGTTGTTTGCCACCTGGAGTGCATGCTGTTGTTTTAAAAATGATAGGTGGTACTGGTTACTGTGCTGAAGGGTCACGAGCCACGACCCTGGGGACAGGGACAAAAGAACCAGGCCTGGGGAAGAAGCACTTGCAAAGAGGGGTGGGGGGTCGGGAGAGAGGAGGATTCTGTTTTCGAGTTTTTAAGGTGCAGGTGGGCTTAACAGAGCTATGCCATGCATGTGCAGATTGCGTGACTACACACTGCATTGATGACATAAGACCTCTTGCGCATGTGTGGCCACACAGCTGGAGGAGCGGCAGTATCCTAACAATGCTGGGAACCAAATTCAGGTCCTCTGGAAAAGCTGAAAGGGCTCTAACTGTTGAGCCATCTCTCCAGCCCCATAGAAGCTATTCTATTCTGGCTTTATTTCATTATGTTTAGAATATTGAACACACACCACCACATATAAAAACCGCCCCCCAAAAAAAATTACTTAGGTCCTCAGAACATATTCTCCCTGAGCTTTGCCTTTTTTTTTTTTTTTAAGTCTAAATGAGACACTCATTGTTTCTTAGAGTTTTGTGTTCTTTCTCACCCAGTACTTCCAAGAAAGCTGAGCAAAAATTCTCAAACTAGATAGCTTTTGCTTCTAGGCTCTACATTATAATAGCATCTCAACCGTGGACATTTAATGAACGTTTGTTGACTGGATAATGTACTAATGCTTTAACCTTACAGGATAGATTTGCTGCTCTGTCATTCAGTGCAGTAGAGACAACACTTACAGAATGTACTGCAAAGATGAAGGGACATGTATTGGAAATAGCAGTTGCTGTTACAGTTGGCTCATTTGATATAGTGCTTAAGGACATGAATTTGACCCCAAGAACCTTTGGGGGAAAGCAGAACATGGACTAATGAAGGGTAAAGGCAAATGGCCAACCTAACTATCTTGAGTTTGATCCTGAAACCCACATGATCAAAGGAGAAAACTGTTCTCTGTGTTCCATATACGTGCCATAGCATGCATGTATATATGTCCCCCACACAACACACACATAAATGTTTTTTTAAAAGGTTTTTTTTTTTGTTGTTGTTGTTGTTGTTTTAACCAGGACATGGTGGCATGTGCTTGTAATCCTAGTGCCGAGAGGCAAAAACAGGAGCATGTCTGGGAGCTTACTGGCCAACCAGCCTAGCATGCTTGTCAAGTTCTAGCCAGTGAGAGGCCCTATCTCCAAAAAGGAAGAAGGGGACACAATGGGTGACACTTGAGGAATGACAGTCGAGGTTGGCCTCTGGCCTCTGTGTACACAGGCTAAGCCAAGAAGGAAGCAAAGACGAGCTCGGCTTGGTGGATAAAGTACATGTAACACAAGCCTGTAGTCCTAGCACCTGAGAACCGATGCAGGTGGATCTCAGATGAGAGAAGTCAGCCTGGGCTGTCTAGACTGGGGGAGAAACAGCTGGAAAAGTATAGCTTTTGACTAGATGTAAGTCATGCATTCTTGGTCTGAGTGTTTTATATCCTTTGTACAGCAGAGAGAGCCACTTAATAAGTTTTCAAGTAAGGAGGACATAATGACCAGAATTTAGGAGTTGTAGTAATGGGAGGATTGATTAGAGTTCAAGAGGTGAGGTTGAGCCTGAAGTGTCAGTCAGGAGACTGGGGTGAGGAGGGTCAATCTGATTAATAGATGGTAGAAATTAATAATTGTGAAAAGTAAAAGAATGGAGACTCAAAGATGGATTAGTTCTGCTAATGGGTCTGCTGATTGAGGTGAATTATATCGAAAAGCAGCCTTAGAGAGGAAAGAAAGATTTAATTCATAAGTCTCTGATTCCTAGGTAGTGAAGATCTGTGGCCTAGAAAGAGGTCTGGGAGAGGCAGGCGGATCTCTGTGAGTTCGAGGCCAGCCTGGTCTACAGAGCGAGATTCAGGAAAGGTGCAAAGCTACACAAAGAAA